TGTTATCAAAAAAAAAAGAAAAAACAGAAAATAACAAGTGTTGGCAAGGATGTGGAGAAATTGGAGCCCCTGGGCGCTGTTGGTAGGAATGTAAAATGGTGCAGCCACTATGGAAAACACTATGGCAGCTCCTCAAAAAGTTAAAAATAGAATTAATATATGAAGTAGCAATTCCACTTCTGGCATATATCAAAAAGAACTAAAAGAAGGGACTTGAAGAGATATGTGTACGCTCGTGTTCTAGTAGCATTATTCACAATAGCCAAGAGGTGGGAAGCAACTCAACTGTCCACTGACAGATGAAAGGATAAACAAAATGTGGTGTATAAGTACAATGGAATATTATTTGACCTTAAAAATAAAGGAAATTCTGACACATGCTACAACATAGATAAATGTTGGGGACATTACGCCAACTGAAATAAGCCAGCACAAATGAGTAAATACTGTATGATTCCACTTATATGAATATCAGTTTTACAAGACTACAATATCATCAGTTTTACAAGACGAAAAGAGTTCTGTCGATGAATGGTGGTGACTATAGCACAACAATGTGAATGTACTTAATGTCACTGAACTGGACACTTAGAAAATAGTTAAGATGGTAAATTTTATGTTTTGAATATTTTACCACAATTTTAGAAAATGAATTTTAAAAAGGACCATTATAAATTTTAAAAATATCATTATTTATGAACAATGCCAACTTAGAATATTGGTTAAGAGTAAGGCTTTGGTTTCAGATGGACCTCTGCTCAACTCCAGGTTCTGGTACTGAGAAAATCACTTAACATTTCTTAGACACAATTGATGTATGTGTGAAATGGAGGTATCGATAATATGAATCCAAAATTACTTCATGAGAATTAAAGTATGTTACGCAAAGAACTTAGCCAACACTCCAAGAAATTTAGCTACTATATTATATTCATATATACAAGATTATTATTTATTAATTGTATTAAAGTATTTTTATTGTTTTTCTAAATAAGTTATAACCTTTTAAATTTATTTTGAAATCTATAATTCTTAGCACACTGCTAAACATGTGGTAGAAGTTTAATAATATACTTTAAAACATAATCAGCCAACGGTAAGATTAAAGGAATAAGAATAGTGGAAAAGCACTTGACTATGGTATGGTCTTTATAAAATACAAAAGAAAGGCTATTTTCTCCCAGTAAAAAGGAAACTTAACCATAGAGATATTAAACAGCAGTAAATTTTAAAACATGTTATTCTAGCACTGATAAATTTATGAGTGAAATATAGATATTAAGGTTCAACAAACAAAACTATCATGTACCTAAAAAAGAAAGAATAGAAATACAAAGTAAATATTTAAAGATCTAAGGAAGCAATTTTCCAATTTAAAATGACTTTCTTCTGCTAAACTGAATGTATTCACATAATCTTTGCCTGATTAACCCAAACATCAATACCTTCTTCTCTAAATTTAACTTATGAATTAAGAGTTGGATGCACAATTTATCTCAGTAACACAAGCAAAGTGAACATCTATTAACTTTCCACCATGTAAGTTTGTGTATGGGGGGTGGGTGTGAACAGAGCCTCTGATGTGTAATGTTCTTTCCATCTGCACACCAGGTGGCACTGCATGGTTAATCAGAAGATGATAAAACACATCAAGATTTCTTACATATTTGGAGATAAGAAAGTAAATAAATCAAAGTTTTGTTTAATGTTTTTTCTTAAATGTCCACAGTAAATATACTTAATAATGTACTTTAAAGGGTTATGCTATTTGAGTTAATAGAGTAAATTAATCATTACTGTAGTATTATGTCCCCTCTATATTAATTCCTTATATAACTTAAATAATATTACCAAATAATATGAGTTTAAGAAACTGAGAAAGAGTAATATAAGAAACTAGGTTCTCCCCAATTGATTTCCATTTATTTAGTAAATTTGTGTCACACAATAGAACCTTGGGGGAATTGAGAACAATATGATTTTGCTGGACGCCCGTTTAAACAATTCAAAGGCAGGGTCTGGAGAAAAACTGATTTGATATAAATTTCAATTGAATTGCTTCTAAAATAGATTTATTACTTAAAATACTATATCTTAATGAAGTCTCCTCTTAAAAGCAATGGTCTTGCTTTAGAACATACTGCTTTTAAGCATTTACTGTCAAAGAAGGTGTTTAAATGTCAATGAAAAATAACAGTAGTCCATTTGGTCTAATGCTGCTAGCCAAAGATGGTATAGCCTAACCTGTATAAATAGGAAGTAAGTGATAAGTAAGATACAAATTAGTCTGCAAAGTTTCTCATTTCTATTCTTTGGAAAGATTATTTCTAGAAAGAAATCTAAAGCATATGTAGAAATACACCCAGCTTCCTCTAACTTGCATCAACCTCTACCATTTCCATATCATTTCTCATGCCTCTCTTATTAATCCCTCTTTCCTTGTGTGAAATGGGTTCCCTATTTTACCAACTTTTACACAGAGCGATTTGCAAAACGGCAAGATAAGCAGAGCTGTGTGGTTCGTAGGGTGAATAAAGCTACCTAGAAGTATGCCTCCTAGCTCTAATTGGAAATCATTGATCTTTTGTACATATGTATTCAATGTAGTCGCTAATTCCAGAAACAACTGCGTTGAACAGGGGGTTGGAGGGAGAGGTTAGGGTGTTCCTTATCTCTTTTATGACAATATCCATTACTTCTGTGACTTCTAATATTGCTAATCATCCTAAAGTTTATCCTTCAACATCAACATTCTACCCCTAGAATACAACTCAGACCTATAGGATGATTACTACTTTTAAAAAAACCTATCATGGGGCTGGCCCAGTGGCGCAAGCGGTTAAGTGCGCACACTCCACTGCGGCAGCCCGGGGTTCACCGGTTCAGATCCCGGGCGTGCACTCAGCACCGCTTGTCGGGCCATGCTGTGGTGGCCTCTCATATAAAGTGGAGGAAGATGGGCACAGATATTAGCCCAGGGCCAGTCTTCCTCAGCAAAAAGAGGAGGATTGGCAGGTGTTAGCTCAGGGCTGATCTTCCACACACACAAAAAAAACTTATCACGATGCTCTTAGCGTATGTTCAATAATATCCCCTTCCAAATTCAAATGATAATTTTCACTCAAAAATTAAAATGTGACTGGCAGCCTTAAGCAGCAGTTGAAAGAAAACATCTTCTTAGTCCCATAATTTTCCAACTCTCTTGTCAACTACTTTTTAAGAGTTAATTACGCCATTGGGAACCACTAAAAGAAATAGTGCTTGGACAATGCAAAGGGTGAAAAAGAAAGTTTTTTTTCCTTCTTTAATTTAAGCAAATACTGTAAGCGAAATATATTTTAATTCCATGAAATTTACACAGAAATATAATAAAAATTCCTCCATGGCTCCATCCAAAGAAATCCCAAGAAGATAAGTGTTCAGTATTTTAAAATATAATTTATACTCTTTTGTGACAAAAATGTTTAATGAAAAGTAAATGGACTATAGAATATTTTTTAAAAACCCTCCTGCTGAATAAATTACTTCCTTTTTTGACTATAATATGGAAGAAATAGATGTATTTTAATTAAGTAAATAATCAATTCAATAGATATTTATTGAGCATCTACAATATTCCAGGAATTCTGTCAGCAAAAAAAGCCACTTTAAAAAAAATTTCTTATATTACCATCCTCATCATAAAATGCTTATTAAATACTCTCAAGTAAATAACATTACTTTTACCAAAAATGCTCAAAGAAAATATCTAATATTCAACACAGCAGTGTAATGTTTGATGTAATGATAAGGCATAAATGTAAGAATGACATAAACTATAACATTTAGAATTTGAAATTCATTGCCTTTGAGTGGGTAATCAAAACCATAAATATGTCTTTGCATTTTATTAAAAAAAAAAAAGATATAGGAGGGGCTGGCCCTGTGGCCGAGTGGTTAAGTTTGATGTGCTCCCCTTCAGCGGCCCAGGTTCAGTTCCCAGGCACAGACCTACACCACTCGTCAGCAGCCATGCTGTGGCGGCAACCCATATACAAAACAGAGGAAGACTGACATGGATGTTAGTTCAGGGCGAATCTTCAAAAAAAGATATAGGAGGATGCTTGGAAAGATCCATGAATTTAGAAAAGGCTAAATGATCAAGTATAGTTTCAAACTTCTCAAGAAGTTATTACATTGTTTCACATTTCTTCCTCTGTTTCTCTTTTCTTTTGATTCTTCAATTATTTTACTTCGAAAATTTATGTTTATGTTATATTATGTTCCAGAAATGTGCTAAAATTGCAGAAGATAAAGATTTAAAAAACTAATCCCTATTCTCATAGGTTTTTAACACAGTGTGTTTGTGCACAGGACAGAGTGGATATATGCACACAACCAAAAATAATAAAAGGAAAACTATATTCAGTACTATAAATGATGCATAAAACATTTTGCTATGTATGAACACAGAATAAACATTTATCTCAGTAGGACAAGTATGAAAGTCTTATGTAGGAAGTGGCATTTGAGATGAATGTTATAAGTAGTATTGACTTTATCATATAAAGCCAGACTGAAAGATTTTCTTAGTAAAGGAAAGAGTATGAGCCAAATATAACTGTAGAAGAGTTCAGGTTATTTTGAGGGACAGCTACATATCTGGCATTGGAAGTGATCTATAAAGTGGTAGATTTAAGGCTAAAGGGGTAGATTTGGACAGCTACGGTAGCCTGTTGAAAGTCATACTAAGAAAATTTGGCTTATTCTGAATGCAGTGGCAGCCACTAAAAATATTTGAGACATTTACAGCTTGTGTGTGTGTGTGTGTGTGTGTGTGTGTGTGTGTGTTGGTGAGGATGATTGGCCCTGAGCTAACATTCGTTGACAATCTTCCTCGATTTTTTGTATGCGGGACGTCACCACAGCATGGTTTGATGGGTATGTAGGTCCACGCCTGGGATCTGAACCTGCGAGCCCCAGGCCGCCGAAGCAGAGTACATGAACTTAACCACTACACCACCAGGCCAGCCCCTTCATAGCTTATTTTTAAGAAGTATTTCCTCATGCTGCCAGTTCTTCATATTAGAGTATCATATTACTAAGAGACAGTGATTTTGGGCAACAAAGATAATCATCATAGGGACTAGGATTACCCTTATTAATGTGATTAGCATTGTTTCCTAATATATTCAAACTATTAAGGAATCATGGCTAGCTTGGTAAAATTGGAATCAGAACAAAGAGATTCAGAAGTCTTTAAAATGAACTTACCTGTATATCTTCATGATATGGGCTCAAAGATCTCCAGGTCCATTGATTCAGGTGCGTTTAAAGATGCACCATCAATATTTCCTCAGATTGTTTTTTCCTTTCTACGCTTGTAAAGGTGACCACACCTTATTACCTGTTTCTGCAGCTTAAGATGCACTTTCTATAGATATGTTAATATGATCAAAGAATAATTGCCCTATATCTATTTCATCTCCTTCTGGGGGCTTCACTTGAATTCATTAAGTGATGAGTTAATGAACTCTCAGCTGGAATTCTATTTCACTCAGTTCTGAATTCTTGGGAGCCATCTCACAATTATATCCAAGTACTTACAAGTGATACTAGATTAGACAATATTACAAATAAAAAAAAAGTGGATTGGCAAAATATTCCTGCCTTTTATTTTTTTTTGGCTTACAATTAAGTCAGGTTTATTATTTTAAAATAATCTCTTCAGAATTGTGCATAATCCCTACCCAGCTTTAGTTTTTATCTTTGGACAGAAGTCACGAGCGTGGTCTAAAAAACTTACTGCATTTTCTTCTAAATAAATAGAAAGTATACATGATTGTGTACAATTTAGAAACTCCTGATTAAGAAGCTAATTAAGAATAACTTCTACCAAGAAGAATTCTGACTCGAAGAAGGCACAAGAGATTTAACCAAAGGCCACGCTGTAGCAAATTTAATACCACAATCTCTCAATGGATTTTCTTAATTGTAATTCTCTCTTCTTCAGTTGTTATAATATTTGGGAATCATTACATTTAAAAAATACTCTTTTCTAACGGTAACTGAAAAAAACCAATTCATGGCAACAATGAGAAAGGTGAGGCTAAATATAAAGACTAATTCTTGTAGTGCGTGAGATTCCATGTACGATATGCTTAAGTTGGACAACTCAATGTAGGCAGGTGTCTTTGGTGGCTTTCAGTTATTGTGTCTGTAACAGCTTTGTATGTTGAAGTATGGATGTTTCCATTTGTTACATTTTCCCTCTTCTGTATAAAATTTTCTTTCCATGTTTTGGTTGCCATTGACTAGTTTTCTTTAACTTAATCTTAATTTTCTTATCTATATAATAGAGTTAATAACATCTATCTCAAGGGCCATTTTAGGAGTTAATGACATAGATTACATTAAGAATTGAGAAAAAAGAATTGAGGATAGAATATTTTAACTATTAGTGCTATTACTGCCAATATCACCACCGTTAATATTGCTACTCCTACTTGTCTATTTCACTTGTAGTGTAATACCAACTTCAAAATAATGCAATATCTATTTTCCCCTGGGTTTGTTCAGAGTTATAATACTTCCGAAATTGCCAATATGTTTTAACATCCTAACAATTTATTTTGGCAAAGAGTCAAAACAGTTGCATTGAAAATCAATAAGTAGGGCTGGCCCTGTGGTGTAGTGATTAAGCCCAACACACTCCACTTCAGTGGCCCAGGGTTCGTGGGTTCAGATCTTGGGAGTGGACCTACACCACTCGTCAAGCCATGTTGTGGCAGTGACCCACATACAAAATAGAGGAAGACTGACACTGATGTTACCTCAGGGCTAATCTTCCTCATGCAAAAAAAGAGGAGGATTGGCAAAAGATATTAGCTCAGAGCGAATATTCCTCACTAAAAAAAAAAAAAACAATAACTAAAAAATACTTATAGAGTTCCTACTATATGCCAGGCACTTTGCTAGACAGTGAAGATCTACGAAAACGGCAGACAGAATCTTCAGTCTGCAAAAGTTTAACTTCCAGTGGTGCAAACAAACATGTAACCAGTCAATGATAAAACAGGGAAATAAGTGCTACAATAAAGTACAAAGTGCAGTCTGGACACCCAGAAAGGGAACAGGAACATAACAGTGGAGGACTGGGAGTGAAGAAGCAGCTTCAGTTATCCAGGTTAAAGAGTTAATGTAGGGGGTGGATCATTACAAGTAAAGAGAACATTCATGAAGTAGAAAAAAGGACACATTAAGCTAAGAACTTAAATATGAAAACAATGACAGTTCTAGGTCCAGGCAACACTGTGTTCAAAAATTGAGATAAAAAAATTGAGATGAGGTCAAACTAAAAACAGTTCAAAATGGCTGAAACATGCAACTTAATGGATAAAGTGAGTGGCGACATAAGCTGTTGACCAAATCCTAGGGTCTTGAATGTCTTATTTTAAGGAGTTTTTCCTCTGTCCCAAAGGAAATAGGGAGCTATGGTGGAGGGGGAGGGGCTTAATGAGGGAATGCCATGATGAGATCTAATTTTAGAAAGATCACTACTGCATTTCTGTTGTGCGGATAATGGTGGTCAAGGAGACTGGTTAGGAGGCTACAGAAATGGTCCAGGAGCATTAAGGGAGGGGAATGGTCATAGCAAGAGGTGAATTCAAGAGAAATCTTTGGGGCAGACACAAGTAAAACATCTAATGGTAAGACAGTGACTGTTCATCTCTATAATATCTTCCAGAAGTTCCTTCTCCCTTTGTGTCTATTATGAATGTAATAATGAATTTTACAGCTGTTTCCCTATAACTCTCTCTCTCCCAAGTATTAAAAACAAAAATTCAGAAAAACAAAAACCTTGTCAGAAGAATATATAAAGTATTCTCATTTATGTGAGGGTGTCTTAGCGCATATTGTCTCCCTTACATGCTTGTTTAACCTTTTCAACCCTGCCACATTTTGTGAAACTGTAAGAGATAACCTACCAAAAAATGGACAAACAGAAAAGGGAAAGAAAATGGGATCCTTTGAAGCAAAGACTAAGGGTCCAATTATTCAGTCACCTAGAACAGGGGTTCTTAAACTTGGCTCTAGAATAATTATCTAAAGAACTAAAAAAATATATATAACTATATATACACATACCCACACTCATGCCCAGCCCACCCCAACACATCTCACTCCTTAAATTGTATGATACAATTCTGTTTGAATCTCTAAAGATTTTCCCGATGAAAATTAAAATCAAGTTAAAAACTGAATTCAGATTTCTTTATATTTTTAATTCTTAGCACCTTGCCTGGAACATTGTAGTCATTCAAAACTTATTTAATTCATTCAAGAGCTACTTATTGATAGGTGTTGGGCATGCTATGGGAAAAAGGCAATTAGTACTTTAGGGTACTTTACAATGTCTACCAATGGCTTTCAAATGTTGACTATTAAACCACATATAAAACACACATTCTTCATATAATGCAATGTGCACATGAAAGCACACACACCAAAAACAAATACACATACAGCTGAAAAATATTTTTCACAAAATAACACTTATCCTAACCATGTACAACACACTTTGATATTTTCTATTCTTTTATGTTCATTTTTATAAAATAATAATAAAAGAAATGATGGTTGTAATCTATTATAGTGATTTCATTACCAACCAAAAAGAACTATCCAATACTTTGAAAAAGCTTTGTACAGTGGATGTTCCAACTCTATTTCTGAACATTGACAGTAACACACTATGCAGGTGCTTTTATTTCAATAAAATACCAAAATTTTAGAGTCTTTTGAAAAATGCCAATTATCTCCAAGACAACTCAATCTAGGTTGAACGAGACACAGAGCTTTATATCACACATCTTTATTTCACTTAGAAGAAACTAAACCTCTCATGGGTAAAGAGACATAACTCTTTAAGTCTCACAATGATGTATATACAATGAGATAATTTCCTTAATGGACCCTGTTAGCATTAGTTAGAGAAAAATCCAAAAGTGAGCAACTTTTCACTAGCATTATCACACACAATATTAAAAATCAGGAAACATGAGAGCACATTTATGTTAGTGCAATGGATTTATTAAACTATCCTTAATAAATCACACTTAACAAAAAAATAGTCATTTTTTTCTTTTAAACAAACTACTAATAGAATGAGACAGTAGTTATAAATACAGAAGATCTATAATATGGTATTTCTAACTACAGACAGAGAAAATACTCCATTTTCATTGTGACCTATGTAACCACTATATAAGTGCTAAGTTCTAAGAGTGTCTTCTTTGCTAATAAGTGCTTTACTGATCTCTCTCAATAAGAAATCCAGGTGTCAAATACCAATGACGGTGCACATCTATGTCAGAGACCTTTATTTGTTTCTTCTCTCTTTATGTATCATCCCCTTACTCTACAGTAATGGAAGTTTAATGGGGCATATGTCCACCCAGCTAAAGGCTATATTTCCCAGCATCCTTGGCTGCCAGGTATGCTTATGTGACCCAGTAGTAGACACCAAGTTAAAAGCAGAAGTCATATGTGCAACTTCTGGATCATAACCTTAAAAGGAAAGGAACTCTCTTTCCCTTTTCCCATTTTTCTTAGCAGGGATGTGGACAAAGTGGCCACCTATGGACCAAGATAAAAGTCAGGTGTTGAGGATGGTTCACACTGTTAGATGAGAGAGAACTAAACATATATCTTGTTTAAGCCTCTATTATTTTTCTTAAAGTGACCAAACCTATATCCTAAATAATACAGAATTCCTATTCCAAAATTTACTCCTCTAAGCTGACTGGGAAAAGGTAGATAAATTAAGTGAGCGAAGTTTAATTACAATATAGAAGCATAGTTAATAAACAAAAGCATGTAAGGACGTGAAGTTGTCCAAGTAACAGGCAGTTATATGGTAACATAAAGGTCATAAATTCCCAACTCGGCAATCAAGAGTGTCAAATAAACATTTCCAGAAGGATAAGGCTACTTGTCTTCTACAGACAGAAGCTTTTTTTTTTTTTTTGACAAGATGAAACTTTCTTGTATATATTTCATACAAAATACTGAAACAGAAAACTGCATTCTACACATCACTACACCAAAATGTCAAAAGATTCACTTCTCAGCGTGAAAATGCACAGCAAAATAAATATGAAAGGTCTCCACATTTTAAATGCTGTATTCACACCCTGGTGCAGAGTCAAATGGAGTATTGTGAATGGATGAAGCATTATCAAATAATATATGTAAGGGAACTTAATGAAATAAAAGAAAAGGAAAAAACTGAAACATTATTGATTCTTGCAGATGGAAAATATCTCTATGGCTGAAACCAGTCAGAATGGTAAACCATCTAATTGTTCCAAATTTTTGTTATACTTTGAGTCTTATGCAATTAATTTGGAGATATTTCAATATATCAGTTATTTATTTGGCCCCTATCTCTTCAGTACAGAGATTCTTTGCAGACAAAGTTCATAGAGATACATGAAACTGCAGTAAAATGTATTACCCCATTAATGGAAAACATACCTTTTATATATGACTGCTTTAGGAAACCAGAATGGTGAATTTCAAATAGCTATTTCAAAACATCACCAGTATTTCAGACCTATTACCTGACTAAATTTTCCACTTATTCTTGACCAACCATTTTTGAACATGTATTTGTTGAGAGTAACAGCAACTTACTGATCCAACATTGATGGTATTAGCAGAATGTACATCATAGATACTTGCCTTATTTCTTTATATTAAGTTCTCAATACAAATGTAACATTGAAAAGTAAAACCAAAGTCAGGGTTAGTGTCTCTAAAAATGGAACCTAGGAAAAATATACCCTTTTTCCTTCCTATTCTTGATATACACATGATTATTGTACTTAAATAAAGATAATATAGAGCAATACTGATGACAATGGGACTCAAGTTTCTGAAAGGAAGGAGGTTCAATACAGATATTCAGGAGCTGGAGACAGTGAAAATTTATTTTCCTCTTCATCATTTTGTATCTAAATAAAGGGAGTGACAGAGATGGTCTTAGACTTGGTAGCAATTATCTAGTAAGAGAACACATGGCATCCTGATAAGAAAAATTTAGTTGGCTAGGAAGCATTCCTGATGATTTCACTCTAGAAATGCTATGAAAAAGAAGACCTCCAAACAAATGCTATCCAGTGTGTGATCAATCGAAAGAGATGGAACAGTTTTCATCTCTGTGTGGGTTTATTACTTAGATATTCATAGGCAAAGAGCATGAACTGGAGAAGAGACAGACAAACTAATAGACAAGAGGATAGACTTATTCAGTTTGTAGGCCATAATTATCCATAGTAGGATCACATGAGAGAATGAAAACAAAGTTCATGAGATAAAAACTAAATTAACTCAACTATTCATTCTCTCTGGTCTCTCAGTAAACAATAGGTAGAAGGAAAAAATATTACAAAACTCAATCTCCATGGAATATTTAGGCAAAATACAGAACCATAAGATACATTAATTGCCTTAGAAGCTATACATCGTCCATAGGACTTTAAGAACTATGATTAAGCAACTTATAATTCAGCCAAATATGAAAAGTCGTTAGGAGATTTTGAAAAAATGAAGAGAACAAGAAAATGAGCCAATTCTGTCCTTTATTATCAATTTAGCCTATTTGTTTTATGATAAAGGGAAAGGTACAGCATCTAGACATCTCTAAGCCCAAATTGTGAGCTTCCATGGCATGACTTGAAAACATTTAGCTTCTTAGAGATGTTCACTGGTGATGATGGCAGAGTGAAAGAATGGAAAGATAGACTGTCTTGCCAAAGTCTACTCATAATGAGGTGAGGCTGCACAACTAGTTATAAAGTAGAAAATATTCTTTGGCCACTCATTTCTGACTGCTATTCCCTGAACAGATGTAACTTCTATCTTGAAAATGTCTGAAGGCAGTTATTCTTCTGGATATTGTCTGGAAATGTTACAAGGAAAAATATTTAAAAGTAAGCTACTCACCTATCCCAATGAAAACAGCTTTGTACCCTTCTTCTTTCACAGTGCTAAGAGTCATTTCATTCATTGAAAGGCTTTTACCACAAATTATCTATAAAAAACAACATTTTAATAATGATATTTTGGTATCTGATTAACTAAAATCTTAATCTTTAACATCGGAAAGAACAGAAAACTGGCATATATATAAAATTTCCATATATGTGTAAATATTTTTGTCTTTTAGTAGATAGACTTACATATACAAAAGAGTATATAAATAGAACACTAACATGCTTTACTTATGGGCTAAATGGTTTTTTGCCTTTTAATTAAATAGTGTATTTAAAATCAAGTCAGTAAACTTGCATAGCCTAATTAGTATGTTCAAGGCACTATGTGGGGCACTTTAAACAGTAAAATGATAAATGAGACACAGTTTCTGCCTCAACGTATAGTCAAACTCTATGGAGAAGAAAAACCGTCTGTGATCAGCACATGTCTATGGGAATTCAAAGGATGGAGAGATGCATTCTGGCTAAGGTCATAATGATGAGAATAAAGAAAGGTAGTCGGATTTCAATGGGGTCTTTTTAAAGAATGGATAGGATTTTGATAGGGGACATTGTCCAGGGAAGATGAATAAAGTCAGGAGGCAGAGGATAGTCACCTCTATTAAAAGTCACAATACTTTGCTCAGTCCCCAGACATGAGCCAATTTTCAGATCTGGAATCTACTGATTGCAGAGGTGGCCAGGTCCCTAGGAAGAAGGACTCTGCAACAACCTGGCAAATCAATACCATAATGATTCCCCTAGTCCTTCTCCAAAGGGAACTATGGCCTTTACACAGGTGACTGTACACTGAAGAAAGAGGAATAATCATATATTTTAAGGACATTGGACACAGATTCTTCATTAACATTAATACTTGGAAACGCAAGAGTGGGGACCTACAGGGATGAGGTAAAAAATGGAGTCTGGCTAAAGTCTGGCTCACAGTGGGTCCACTGAGGTTTCAGACCCAGTCAGTGATTATTCCCTCGTCTTCACTTGCATAATCAAAATTGTCATACTTGTCAGTTGAAGTAATCCCCACATTGGCTCTCTGGTCTGTGAAGTAAGAGATATAATAGCTACAAAAATTGGAAAGGCCAGAAAACTTCTGAAACCCCAGTCGAGAGAGTAAAACAAACACACTATCGTATCCTGGAAGTGGGTGGGATGGGGAGAGATGGTGGTGGTCCATGTTATATTTCTGTCTAATTCAACAGTCTGGCCCCTGCAGAGACCAGATGATTCCCGGAGAATGACTGTAAACCACTGCAGGCTTCACTGAAGAGTAGCCCTGATTGCAGTTTCTGTGACAGATGTGGTACTGTGCTAGAGCAGATTAATAAGGCCACAGCTACACCGCATGTGGCCACTGATTTGAGGAATGCACACTTTTCCATCCTGCTTCTGAGAAAAAGGGATCAGAAACACTTCACATTCATGGGGAAAGATAAGAATATTCATTAACAGTTTTGCCTGAGGAATATGTTGACTCTCTTTTGTAATAACATATATAATCTGAAACAATCTGGCCATTCCCCAGAACATCGCAGTGATCTATTACGTTGAGAACGTCATGCAGATTGGACAGTATGAGGAAGACGTGGCTAGTATGCTGGAGACTTCATGAAAACACATGCACTCCAGAGGGCAGAAGATGAACCCTACATTATCAGGGACTAGCCACTTGAGTGATGTTTGAGAGTTCACTTGTCAGGTACGTGCCAGTATATCCTCTCTAAAGTAGAAGATTTTGCTCTCATTTACCACCATAAAAAAGGAAGCACAATTCCTGGCAGGCTTCTTTGGGTTCTAAAGACAGCAGGAAACAAAAGTCTCTAAACTGAGACATAGAGGAAGAACAAACTTTATTCATGAAACAATAATTGCAACTAAGCTGCATAGAGTGCTTAACTAAGTACAAGGCTCTCTTCTAAATACTGCATAGATGGATTCATCTAACCCTTACTATTAGTCCTATGAAGTGGTATCAGCATCCTCTTTTTACAGATGGTGATACTAAGAGACAAGAGAGCTTAGACAACCTTTACCAAAGTCACATATGTAGTCTGACTGCAGAGCCGGCATGAGTAACAGCTGTGCTCTTATGTCTCTTGAGGTTACAAGGAGAATGAAGGGCAGAATTGGCACCATCCTCAAAGGCATAGAACCTACTGAAAATGTAGCATTTCTGGAGTATAAAGTGCAAAGCAAAGAATGGAGAGAGAAAGTAGAGGATTATGATGACCGGGACTGTATCATAGAGGGCCATCTTTGTTTTCCTAAAATACTAATTCTATTTTTATACTGGCATATAGAATAACTGTTTGAAAGTTTATAAGCATGAGACAATCAAGGTGAGTTTAATAACTAACATTCAGAACTCTGGAACATATCAAATACCAGGGAATAAACTAGAACATTAAATAAACATGTACTATTAAAAGTGTTTAATAGTAAGTATCTAATAATGAGTATTACTATTAGAATTAGTTGAATTAGATGCTATTAAGTGTATCTAATATTGAGGCTTTAGAATTTTAATTTATTCTAACTTTTAAAGAATACATCTTTTATTAAACTATTTCTGCTCATAAAGAAAGATAGTAAGTTCTGTTTATTTTATGAAATAAATAACCTTAATACCAATATATGAAAAAGGTTAGACATAAAAGAAAACTATAGGTCCAAACATTCTAAATACAATTTTAGCAAATAGAATAAGAAAGCAATTTCCAAAGTTGAGAAGTGCAATGCCCTGCCAATGGGTTAATTAGGGAAAGTGATGCTCAGAACACTTGACTTTAGGTTTAGTTTATCCACTGCCTCAACAAAAAGATTCAAGAAAGACCTCTTATCCTTCCTGAGGTGGGGTAGGTGTGTATGCATGCACAGCAGAAGTTTAGTTTAGTAGTGGCAGTACGTGATTTATCAAATGGGAATGAAGACATTCCAGTCCTTCCACCCTAACAGAGAAAACATGTCTCCGAGTTTGTAACATACAGGCAAGATACACAGACATTTTATATTTCCATAGTCTGATTCCACCCCAGTAGGCAATAGTGTGCAACTGGAGAAGTAAAAAAGTTGAATTATACCTTTCCGTATCGAAAACTGGCAAAACAAATAGCTTGACTCTTGGTGTTAACGTACCAGGACTGGGACCAGCAGACTTCACTATACTGTGGACAGACATTGTGGGTAAGATGGAGAATAACTATCATCGGGCAGTAGCTACATGGTAGAATTAGAACAGAGCAATAATAACAATATTCAGTGGAGTGACAGGCACCGGGACTCTTCCCTATCTGTGCTGGGGAATCCAGTAAAATTCCCCTTTTCTAAAAGCCTCAGACCCCCAAACATTTGCCATCCAATCAATAACCCACTCTCAGTCAGAAAGAATAAGGAGAAACATTTTTTGACAAAAAAAGTTAAAATTTTGCTTACATTATGCCTCGGGACATTGGGCTGCGATGTGTAAAACTTAACTAAAACTAGTATTACAAGACAATTACAGGCATCAAAAAGATTCCTGTGGCTGATATACCATGAAATCCTAACATTATTTGTTAAATAGTTAGGATGTTAGAAAAATCACATGGTGGGCATTTTGTTTGTGTTTTTGTTCCTTTTATTCTCCTGCACTTCTATATATGTAATAGTTTTCCATCTTGATTTTCTTAGATATGGCTTACAGCATATATTATACCTTCCTATAATGGTTTTAGTAATATATGACTGGGTACTCAAACTTTTTAGCTAGATTCAGAATAAAATTCACTCCACTTCAAGCTCAGTACAAGTTATTACTATTCCAATATAAGGGTTGAATATAACAAGCCTTGAGCCAAAGTTCCATCCCATATCCACTTTAGGACTAGATGAAAACTTTCTTTATATATCCATAATATGTATTTATATATAATAATAATATTTATAATGTAGGATAAAAGTTCATGACTTTTTTTGGAGTGGAACTCTTTCTTCACATGAAATATGTGATACCTATTGTAAAAAAATACAGGTAACAATTCACATGCTCCTCACATTTTTCTGATCGAATACTTGGCTAAATAGATAAAATATTTCCAGAATCTAAGATAGGAAATCAAATGGAGAAATTTTTAAAATAATATTTAGCTTTCTTTAGACACAAAAATTATTTTGTTGGCTATTAATGCACACGTTTCTCTCCTTCTGGTAGAGTTACAATATGATTTTATATTAGTTTTCCAATAACATACTTCAATAATGGAAATGCTTTCCTCCAATAAATGTAATGAAAAATGAGATGAAGTAAAGAGGTTATCAAGAAAGAGATCTCAGATATTTTTACTCAAATTTTGAAGCAGAAGAAATGCCTAGCAACTATAAGTTTAATGAAAATAGAATTATATCAAAGTATTTTGAGAAATGGCAGATACATATATATTTTTAAGCTTATTTAAAAAAATACAAGATTTTATGCAGATTTATATTTTTACCTTTAGAAAATGAAGTTATTAGAAATATTATAAACACTATGAAACAAAAATATTTATGTCCACCTAAGTTCTGAATTGCATGACAAACAAAGAGCTTTTAATTTAAAAGATTAGTAACAATGCTTGACACAAATATCACAAGAGACTTTATTAAAGTCCACTTAAGGTTAAAAATAATCTGCAGTGATCTATATTGGAAATTTATTATAAAATCAAGAGATTTTATTAAAATATAACAGCTAAGAGGCTATTTCTTCTAAAGAATAAATAACTTTATTTTACTAGAAATGATCCTTTGATGAGAAATCAATTGAGAATATACTTTATAAATTAAAAATTGTATATCCTGCTGATAAGTAAAAGTGAAAAGAAAAATGTGAATTCTATCACAAGAATACAAAAGAAAAATAAATTTATCCTAAATAACTCTGTGTAAAAGAAAAAAGGAAAACTAAAACTGCTCAAGAAAAATAACAATAATAATACTAACGAAAACATATGGATTCTGACAAGAGTTTATTCAGGAAGAAATTATTTCAAATGGTTTCATTATTCAACCTAGAAAAATGAAATTACATAAGTACGCAACTCAAGAGGTTAAAAAAAGAGTAACAAGTTTAAGGATAGCAGAGGGAAAGAATTAACAAAGATAAAGTGAACAATTAGTGCATAAGCAAACATAAAACTCTAAGAGCTGGTTCTTTTAAAGAATACTTTAACTAGAGAAATGACTACCTAGTCTTATCAAGAAAAAAAGTTAAGAAAATGCAATGTATAAATTTAGAAATGTGAAAGAAAATATCACAGATACAGATGAGATATTTGCATTGTATAGTGGAATAACATGTTTAGTCTATACTAATTAATTCAAAAGTCTCAATGAAACAGAATTTTTTTTCTAGGAAAATATATATCGGCCAAACTGACGTGAGAATAAAATAGGTGGAAAGACCAACAACCATGGAAGATATGAAAAAAAAAAAAAAAGTCAAAGTTCTGTCTCTCATAAAAAGGCTTTGAAGCCAGAAGGGTAAAATTTTTAAATTTAGCAAAAAAGATAAGTCTCAAAACAATATTCTTACTAACAATAAAATAATGAAATGCTCAGAAGTTTATTTTTATAAGGCTAGCGTTAACTCTATTACCAAAAACTCAGAAAAATAACAAACAAAAATAAATAAAGCAAAACAAAAACAGGTTTTCAAGTAAATTTGAAACTCTATAAGGACAGCAACAGTATTTGATTATTCCCTGCTATATTTCCAGTTTTAATATTTATTGCATAAATAAGTAAATGCAAAAGAAAAATTTTAAAAAGACTAACAAATCAAATCTTGTTCTACATGTACAGATAGAATAAAACATAATGCAAAAATGGATATATTCCAGAAATGCAAAGATTAATATAATTAAATATATTAACTGAAAATAAGTTTTTAAAAAGGGCAATTAAAAAATGTAATACCCCTTCTCCATTAAAATAAAAAAACTAAACAAAATTTGAGTATTCAAAGTCTATAAAAATTAAATTTAATCAATATAATTAAAAATGCTATCTCATAGACATGAAAAGACGCCATGCTGTCTCTCCTCAGAATCGCACATACAATTTAGCGCTTACAATACAAGCCTGAATACTTTTATCTCCTTCACATCTTAAAACAACCTGACAGATGGACAAGACAGTATTAAATTTCTGTTTAATTTAGGTTCTAATTTTTTCTTGATAACATAATAAATTCATAGGGTTTAAAATTCAAATGTACAAAATGGTGATAAAATCCTTCCTACACCTTCCCAAAGGCTATCCATGCTGTCAGACTCCTACGTCTTTCCAGAGCTATTCTATGTATATATAAGCAGATATGTTTATATTTATACAAAGGGTAGTAGCAAACTTTTACCTTTGAACAGATATGGACCAAGGCTAGGGATATTAACCGACTCTGTCAAAGTCATCTGACTATAAAATTAGAAAGTGGCATGACTGTAGCTAAAATGTATATTTTCTGGCAGTCAGTGTATTGACTACTATGGCTTGATGTTTCCTAATAAGAGTAATGGATATGCCCTAATTTATGCCATATATCTGGTACTGTAAAAATTGAATGCAATTTTACAATTACTTATAAGATAAATTTAGAAGTACCTTAAATTAATTTCTGATTCATCTTCAGTTGGTAGTAACACCTGATATATTAGTTTGAATTCTCAGTAATCATTTCCTCATTTAATGAGATTTAAGTAAGAACTTGTATTCAAAATGAAAGACATTTAAAGAGCTTTTCAGAATATACTTTTATAAAGCAAATAATCACCTTTAAACGATTTATTTTGAACATGATTTTAGAACGCTAAGTTTTCATAAAGTTGGGCACATCTGTACTATGTATTTTTGTTTAGTGATTATGTGTAAATGTTTCATCACCCAACTACTGCCAATAAAATGTAATTATAGATATAAAAGCAGAAAATATTGTTTTGAGTGTTTCTCCTTTTATTGATTATTTTAATTTTTATTTCTAAACACAAGAACCATGAATAGTTTGTTAGTCACTTTTCAAAATATCTTTTGCATGTACTTACAGAATGTATTATGTAAATCACACTACTTTATTAATCTATTGTGTTATATCTATTATGGAAAATTAAGATTTTTGAAACAAAAATAGCAATATGTTCAACTGAAAAGCCAGAGAATAATATTCTTAATAAGTAGAAAAGAACAGGAATATCCAAAGTTGTATTCCGAAAGTACGTATGAACTTTTTGACCATCTTTAAAATAACACAATATTTATTTCTCAAAACAATGAAAAATACAAAGCTGTTGCTTTATATTTTGCTGATTTACTGCTTACGTGGAGAAAGGATTATCACATTAAGACTACTGACATGATGCATATAATAAATAAAACTCTGTAAGAAGTTTTGTTCCAAATTGTGAAATACAAATGTTACAGAGTGCACATAACTTGCATGAAAACAAAAACGTGATTAAAGAAACCAAATCTATTAGCTGCACTGAACCCCTAAAGCAATTTAGGAATTTGTTTCTTACAGACAATTAATCACATGCAGGCGTGCCAGATGAGAACTATTGATTGCCCTTTTCCAGGCTAGTGGCATTCAGACAGTAGACAGACAAATGCCCTAAGCAAGGAGAAGCATCTTTCTGCTTCTGCTTGGTGTAGCTTTTAATTGTTCTTTCCTAAAATGTGTGACATTTTGCTGTTAATCTTTAATGTAGAGCTTACTCCTTTCTCTTCGAGCAATACACATGTAAGTGTTATGTTTTTCATTTACCTTTACACCAAGGTCCTTCATAAGCTCAATCTCAAAATTCACTACATCATATGGCAGACGGAACTGAGGGATTTCAGAAGCACTGAAAAAAAAAAGGAAGAAGAAGTATTTATGGAAAAATCACTATTTTAGAAAAATGCAACATATCTTTATTGATCAATAGGATTAAAGGAATAAGTATCTCTTCTAAGGGTATTTTCATATCACATAATGTGAGTGTGAGGACATTCAAAATTTTATATGCATGACAAAATATTACATGGGCTACAGCAGAAACTGACGTGAAAATAAATAATTATAAACAATGGAAAACAGTAAACAATTAGTCAAAAGCAATTCCAATACTTTTAAGTTTATGAAAGTATTTAGTTGATTTATCTACTAACAATTCTCTGAATTCCTAAGAAAACAAAATCTTAAAAAACCAAAAATTACGTGAAAGTATATAGTGTTTAATAAACATATATACATATACATACGTATATATTCTACAACTAGACCTCTAGCTTGTTCAAATTCAAATCTGTAGCTTTATGTTACCATGCTGTTTTGGATATTCCAGGATCAGTTCCATGTGATCTATAGAACATTTTTATAGTAAACCAATCTTTTTCTACAAAAGTAATAAGCATCCCAAAAGGATACAGTCATTAAAAAGTAATCCTATTTGATATCAGTGCTCATTGTCTTCACTTAAAAAAAAAAAACATGAGTCTAAAATATAATAATTTCAATAGTATAATAGTTTTGAGGACTAAAGGTAAGCTCAAATAACTTCAATATCTTATAGTAATAAAAAGTCTACATATATTCATGCATAATAGCAATTCATTTATTCATTCAACAAACATTTACAAAGTGCCAGGCACAATGGTAGCTGCAGTGATTTGATGGTAAATTTGACCAAATTCCCACTTTTAATAAGGTCTCATTCTGGTGAGCAAAGATACATAAACAGATAATTACAATAGAATGTAGTACATGCAATGAAAGAGATATATCCAGGCATTATAGAGATTGATTTGTAAAATAAATAAATCATTGTTGAAGATGAACCTTCTGGATCATTCAGTGCAAAGTCTTCCACAGTGTATATGTAGTCTTTTCATTCTTTGGTGACTTAAAAACTTGATTATCCAATTAATTTCCATATATCAATCAGCAAGGCACCATGCTCAGTGCTATAGAAAATGCAAAGTATTAAAGAGTATAAAATCAAGGCCCTATACTAAAGGAGCTTTCCATCTAGTTAGGACATGAGATTATACATAAGAGTGATGCACTCTTGCATATATAATCACCTGACATATTCTGCATTTGGTTTATTGTTGCTTTATTGTCTGCCTCGAGTATAAGCCCTATGAGAACAGGCACTTTGCTTTGTTCTCCTTTATAGCTCTAATGCCTGAGATAATGACCAACACATAGTAGGAGATCAAGAAACACTGAAGGAAGAAAGGAAGAGAACAAGATAGGTAAACATCAGGTCATGGAGAGCTTTCTGTGCTAAGCCAGAAACTCTTACGTTATGGGGAGTTATTGAGAGATTTCAAGGAGAAGTGTGATATAATCAGATTTGGAAATGCCTAAGAGAATAAATTTGTAAAAGATAAATCAGGAAGCAAAGAGAACCATTTGGAGGCTACTGCAGTGATACAGGAAGTAAGATATTAAGGACATCAGAGATGAAGGGGTGAAAGGACATTTTTAAAAGTATTCACAAAATACAATTGCCAGGATATTGAAGAATAGTGTAAATAACTCTCATACGTCTGGGTAATGCCATCCACTGAGACAGTAAATTCAGGAAGAGAAGCAATATTGGTATGGAGAGGTTTATAGAGGAGACATCCAGGATTAGAATGTATGGCCAGAACAGAGAGAGAGGTCAGGGCAGATATAGATTTTTAAGTAATTTGCATGTAGGTGTAATTGAAACCATGAGAGTAAATGAGATTACCCTCAAGACTGCATGGTGAGAAAGGGGATAAAATGATAGAAGATAGAAATGGATTGGAATGATTACTTCCAGGTTTGCTGTGCTTATGAAAACAAACTTTTATTCTTCTATCTGTGCTCTTTTAACAATCCAAAGTTTTGAAAGAAATTTTTCTTGTGGCAACCATAAATCCTTTAGTACAGTCAACAGAATGCCAGAAAACCTGAAAAAAAAAAAATCATCTTTCGTCTATGTTCATGATTCCTTCATATAAATGGAATTTGCCTATAACTCCCTTCCATTCTTTTTACAGCACAATTGTCATACTTTGATAGAGCTTTCCTCAGTTTATTAAGGTACAGGTACCAGACTTTAAATGTGAATTGCATCACACATGTTCTCAAAATATTTCCTATTGCTATCACTATTTAACCGAAACCCTGTTTCTCTTTATTGTCAATCAATATAAAATGCAATAGACATAGTGAAAATATTGTAACATTTGAAATAGCTAAAGCAAAAGACACCATTGCCCTGACTATCCTATCCAATAAAAATGTCATAATCAATATATTTTAATTTTTATAATAGATAAAATCAGAAAGTATATATAGGCATGTACACTTACAGTCTCTTAACCCCATCTTTATTTATATTTGCTATCATAATGTCAAGTGCTGTAATCTTTTTAAACTCATGTCTTGAAAAAAGAAGCCACAGTTGGAGGAAAGCAAAACTACTGATTACTTTATAAATTTGGTGCAGCATCAGGAAAGAGAAGTTCATAGCAATAAATGCCTACCTCAAGAAACAAGAAAAGTCTCAAATAAACAGTCTGACTTTACACCTCAAGGAACTAGAAAAAAGAACAAAAGAAGCCCAAAGATACTAGAAGGAAGGAAATAACAAAGATTACAGTAGAAATAAATGAAATAGAGATTAAAAAGATAATAGAAAAGATTGATGAAACTAAGAGCTGGTTCTTTGAAAAGATAAAATTGACAAACCCTTAGCTAGACTCACCACAAAAAAAAAGAGTGAGGACTCAAAATCAACAATGAAAGAGGAGATGTTACAACTGATACCACAGAAATACAAAGATCATAACAGATTATGAACAATTATACACCAACAAATTGGACACCCTAGAATAAATGAATAAATTCCTAAAAACACACAACCTACTACGACTGAATCATGAAGAAACAGAAAATCTGATGAGACCGATTACTGGTAAGAAGATTGAATCAGTAATCAAAAACCTCCCAACAAACAACAAACAAACAAAAGTCCTGGATCAGACAGCTTCACTGGTGAATTCTACCAAACATTCAAAGAAAAATTAATACCAATCTTTCTCAAACTCTTCCAAAAAACAGAAGAGGGGGGACCTCTTCCAGACATATTTTATAAGGCCAGCATTAGCCTGATACCAAAACCAGACAAGGACACTACTAAAAACGAAAATTACAGGCCAATACCCCTGATGAACAGAGATGCAAAAATTCTCAACAAAATGAATTTAACAATACATTAAAAGTATCATACACCATGATCAAGCAGAATTTATCCAACGATGCAAAGATGGTTCAACATCTGCAAACCAGTCAATGTAATACACCACATTAACAAAAAGAAGAATAGAAATCATACAATCATCTCATTAGATACAGAAAAAGCATTTGACAAAATCCAACATCCATTTCTGATAAAAACTCTCAACAAAGCAGATATAGAGGGAACGTACCTCAACATACCACCACCAATATCATACTCAATGGTGAAAAGCTGAAAGCTTTTCCTCTATGATCAGGAATAAGACAAGGACGTCCATCCTTGCCACTTTTATTAAATATAGTATTGGAAATGCTAGCCAGAGCAATTAAGCAAGAAAAAGAAATAAAAGGCATCCACATTGGAAGGAAGAAATAAAACTCACTAGTTTCTGATGACATATTATATATAGAAAACCTTAAAGACTCCGTCCAAAAACTGTTAGAACTAATAAATGAATTTAATAAAGCTGCAAGATAAAAAAACCAGTATGCAAAAATCTGTTGCATTTCTTTACACTAATAAACTATCAGAAAGAGAAATTAAGAAAACAATCCCATTTACAATTGCATCAATAAAGATTGCAATCAATCTGCACTACAACTGCATCGAAAAGAATAAAATACCTAGGAATAAATTTAACCAATGAAGTGAAAGATTTGTATATTGAAAAGTAAAAGACATTAACAAAAGAAATTGAAAATAACACAAATATATGGAAAGATATCCCAGGCTCATGGATTGGAAGAATTAATATTGTTAAAAAGTCCATACTTCCCAAAGCAAGATACAGATTCAATGCAATCTATATCAACATTCCAATGGCATTTTTCACTGAAATAGAACAATCCTAAAATTTGGAACCACAAAAGACCCCAAATAGCCAAAGCAATCTTGAGAAAGAAGATCAAAGCTGGAGGCATCACACTTGCTGATTTCAAAATATATTACAAAGCTATAGTAACCAAAACAGTGTGGTACTGGCATAAAAATAGACACACAGATCAATGGAACAGAATAGAGAGCCTAGAAATAAACCCATGCATATGTAGTCAATTAATTAACGACAAAGGAGTCAAGAATATACAATGGGGAAAGACAGTTTCTTCAATAAATGGTGTTGGGAGAACTGAACAGCCACACGCAAAAGAATGAAACTGGACCACTATATTACACCATATACAAAAATTAGCTCAAAATGAATTAAAGACTTGAATGTAAGACCTGAAAACATAAAACTCCTAGAAGAAAACATAGGTGATAAGCTCCTTGACACAGGTCTTCACGATTCTTTAAATCCAACACCAAAAGCAAAATCAACAAAAGCAAAAATAAACAACTGGGCTACATCAAACTAAAAAGCTTCTGCACAGCAAAAAAAAAAAACACCCATCAACAAAAGGAAAAGACAACCTACTGAATGGAAGAAAATAATTGCAAAATCATATTTCTGATAAGGGGCTAATGTCCAAAGTATATAAAGAATTCATAGAACTCGATAGCAAAAAAACAAATAATGATCAAAAGACGGGCAGAAGATCTGAAGAGATATTTTTCAAAAACAGACATATAGATGGCCAATGGGTATATGAAAAGATGCACAACATTATTAATCATTAGGGAAATGCAAACCAAAAACACAATGAGACATCACCTCACACCTATTAGAATGGCTATTACCAAAAAGATTAGAGATAACAATTGGTGAGGATATGGAGAAAGAGGAATCCTTGTGCACTGTTGGTGGGAATGTAAATTGGTGCAACCACTATGGAAAACAGTATGGAGGTTCCTCAAAAAATTAAAAATTGAATTACCGGGGCCAGCCTAGTGGCGTAGCGGTTAAGTGTGCACGCTCCACTTCGGCAGCCCGGGGTTCCCAGATTCGGATCCTGGGCACACACCAACACACCACTTGTCTGGCCATGCTGTGGCAGCTGTCCCATATAAAGTAAAGGAAGATGGGCACGGATGTTTGCCCAGCGCCAATCTTCCTCCGCAAAAAAGGAGGATTGGCATTGGATGTTAGCTCAGGGCTGATCTTCCTCACAAACACAAATAAATAAATTGAATTACCATATGATCCAGCAATTACACTTCTGGGTATTTATCTGAAGAAAACAAAAACACTAATTCAAAAAGATATATGCACCCCCATGTTCATTGCAGCATTATTTACAATAGCCAAGATATGGAAACAACCAAAGTGACCACTGATGGATAAATGGATAAAGAAATTGTGGTATTTATATACAATAGAATGTTATTCAGCCATAAAAAAAGAATGACATCTTGCCATTTATGATGACATGGATAGACCTTGAGGGCACTGTGCTCAGCGAAATAAGTCAGACAGAGAAAGACAAATACCATATGATCTTTCTTATATGTGGAATCTAAAAAAGAAAAAAGCTCAAGGCACAAAAAACAGATTGGTGGTTGCAGGAGGTGCAGGTGCTGAAAGAAATGGGTATTTTTCGGGTATTTTTAGTTTAAATAAATTGAATAAAACTTTAAAAAAAATAATCAATCGATTGTGTTCAATACAATCGGGGTTAAGTCCTGGATATCATTCATCAACTCTAATGATTTTTAAAAAAGTAGTTGCAATACTAATTCACCAGGGATAAAAGGATCTGTTTGGATACAAAGGAGAAGGAAAGATAAAACTTGACATCACCTCTTTAAGCAACTGACTTCAAATACAAAACTAATTTAATCTTTTTCAGCCACTTTGAAGATATAAGAGAATGAGAAGCATATGTAAGTGAGAAAACAAATTAACAGGAAAGTGTTGTGGTTGTAATTCTGGCTAAATTCCAATGTCAGCTTTTATAATTCTGTAACAGTGACACATAATGCCTCTACCATGGGACAGTCCAAATGAGACTGATTAAACACTTCATATTCTCCCTAGATACTGAGAAGATTCAAAAGCTAACAAAACAAAATAAATCAAAAAAGAATTTAAAAGAAACATGTTTGGTCATTAATCCATTTCTGTCCCAGTAGAAAGTGTTTACAAATATATGAAAACAAGTTTAGTGCCAATTTATATGATTTAAAAATGCCTATCCTGCATTTGACTTAAGAAAGAGATAAAGACGCTAAGAATCATAATCTTCTACCAAAATTGTCAACACAGAATAATTCACAAACAGGGCTTGTTCCATTTTAAGCTTCTTGTGAAAATGCAATTAAGGGGCAAAAAGATTTTTCCTAGTCTACTAGGGTACACAACAATTAAGTTCATACTTTTTAAATTAGCTTACATAATCGTTGATGTGTATAACTGAAAAAAATGTACAAGGCTTATACATATGTTGCTAATAGATTTTGTTTTTCCTAATTAATAAAGGAATTAATGTGGTAAAATGCCATTAAAAAAGATAGTCTAAATCATTCCAGCAAAATAATACATTAGGTATTTTACTTTCCAGGAAAATAGTTTTATAAAATATGTGTAATCCCTTAAAACTCATAGTGGTGAAACATCAATACAGAAAACAATAATTTCTTGACAATCATATTGTTTTTTCTTCAGTTTATGCTTCATATCCTTTCTACAGAGTCTTTTTTACTATGTGATATTTTTGCTTGATGATTCATCAAATACTTTTATATTAATGATAGCTCATCTTGGGTTTAGCATATTGTCATTTGACCAATAATGAAATTTACACATTTATTGATACATATTTACAGGTGCTATAAAATAAAAAATATAAGCACAAATTTTAGTCACAAGTCGATTTAATTCTTTCTGTGATTGTTAAATAACAAATCTGTTGCTCAAAGAATAGTTCAGTGCCATCAAAAGTTAAATAATAAGTATAGCAACAGATATACCAAATGGTTGTATTTCATAATCTATGATTTCTGATGCAAGATGACATATTTAGGAAAAATAACAATAAATTGAGTAATATTATCAACTTACCACCCAAATTCTTTCTCATTTTTACATCAAATATTTTAAGCAATATCTACTGTCTACTTAAAATAAATTTTATTTCTTTATGATCACAAATGTAAAATATGTTTACTATAGAGTTCCATTTATTTTAAATAAAGCAAACTCATCCAATTTCTAAGCTTGGTTTGACTATCTGAAAGTCACTTACCCAAAGTGAACATTTTCCATTTCAGTGTATGAATCTTCACGGGAATAAAAGACTATGTTACCAAATTCTAGTTTACAATAATGATAATGATTAAAAGTAAATATGAATAAAGCATGTATGAAATAAGTACTGCAGAAACATACATTAAAATGGAACATTTTTTGTAGACTCTGACATAATTGTAATCAAATGCAAAACTTAAGAGATTGTAAACTGAAAATATGTGAGCAGGACATGTCTGTACACAACAAAATGCATCACCCAATATTTTATGGAGCTAAGTTTTCCCCATCTCTAATTTCCATAATTTTCGGATATATCTCCATTAAAGAAAAGATTCACAGTGATGAAATACGTTTTCATATGATTGGTTCCTCCATCCATAAAATATTTTGCTAAGATTTCTCTTACATTCACAGAACTAGACAGAGAAACTTTTAAATATTGCTTAAAGCCAACTGCAAATTTAAAGTGAATAATAAAATCAAAATTTGAGCATTTGGAAAAAGAACATTTAAAATACCATCTGTGAGCCTGAAGTTCCTATATGATTATGAACCAATGATATTCATAATTGTTTTACTCCATCATTTTTGACACTATAAACATGAAATAATTGTAGGCCTTACCTTAAACCACCAACATATTCTTGTTTTTCAAATATAGTGATGTCAGAGTAGCCCAATCGAGCCAAAAAGGAAGCACAACTTATACTTGCAGGTCCAGCACCAAAAAGAGCAATCTTTGCAGAATAGGCTTCAGGCATTTTTTCTGGGGGAGGCAGAGAAGGATTTCTGATTTGTGGGATATTCATTGCTTTGAACACCTATGGAAAAACCAGTTGTCATGGTTAACATTTTTAAACTAACTTTTATATCCTCAAACATATTTTTAATGTTTTAAACCCCCTAGTGTTTTAAATAGAAATAAACAATACATTTTCAGTATTATAACTTCATACTTAGAAGTTATATTGGGCCAAGCAGATGACAATTTACACTTGACTAACTCTTTCTCAATCTTTGAAATTCTTGTCTGGGGTCACACCTCCCCTAGGAAGCATTCCTGACTCACTTTCCCTACTCTCACATCTAGGCCAAGTTAAGTGCTCCTCCTCTGAGCTCCTATGGCATAATTTGTACGCCTCTAACATAACCATTTACTGCTGTACCTGTTTATGTGTCATGTTTCCATGTTAGTCAGTAGAACGTTATCTCCTCGAGTCAGAGAATATGTCATATATAAAAACATACACACATATAACGTATTAACTATAAGTTTTAGGTACTTTTTACAACATGCTACCACTGTACTACCAGCAGTTAGCACTAACCTGGTACATAGCAGACATTCAGAAAATAATTTGTTGACATCTGCTTCGAGTTACGATAGATAAGCTTTTAAAGGATAACATTTCAAAAATCTGTTAGAAGCACTGGAGAGCTACTGAAGTAAGCCAGACTAGAGGCGCCAAGATCTCAAGAGAAAAGGGAACAGCAGAGAAGTGAGATGACAGTTTAGGAGTTACTTTAACCCTGAGGTAATTGGCCACTTCTTAGCAGAGGGAGGAAGGCTAAGAATCTTGTAGAGGATCACAGCTCAGAAGAGACAGCAAGAGAGATTTCTGGCAATCTTTTAGGAGTAGAGAGACACTGGGTTTTGGGAATGAAAGAGGTGAGAAACCGGAAGCAGAAGAAAGTGCAGAAAAGGGAGCTTAATTCTTAAGTGCATAAGACAGTAGGCTAAGAATCTAAACAAAAACTCGCTGTAAAGCAGAGGAGAGCTTTCTGCACTCTGACGGTACAGAGGAAACAAAAACTGAAGTGCAGGAGTAGCTAAAGAAGGAAGAGCCCTAGTAAACATTCCAGCACACAGCCAGAACTTCTGAAGGGCTACACTCTACAAGAGGGGCAGACCAGACATAGACAAGCAACCAGCCTGGGTCAGCTCAGCCTCTGATTTGAATGAAAGTGATTAGTTCTCACTCTATCTACCAAATGATAGGGTGGACCTTCTGTGGAGGATAATAAGCCAACTGCAGCATCCACAAATGTTCATATACAATGTCTGGCTTTTGATCAAAAAGCCAAGGCCTGCCAACAACTACGAACTAAGAACTGTCAATAACTAAGAAAACAGAAAGAGATGCATACATAATCCAGTAAGTGTAGTTATCAAACATAGACTTTAGAATAACTACGATGAACCTGTCCAAAAAACAAATAAGAATGTGAAATTCACCAGGAAACTGGAATTTATTAAAAAACAAAAGAAATTTTGGAAGAGAAAAAAGTACAAAATTGAAATTAAAAACTAAATAAATGTATTTAACAGCCGATTGGACAGGTGAGCAAAAAAGGACTAGCACACTGACGACTGGTCAGTAAAAACTACCTAGGCTGAAGCATGAAAGCAAATAGGAAGGAAAATACAGAAAAGAACAGGGGACAAAAAGACAACATAAACAGATCTAATATATGAGTAATGGGAATCCTAAAAGGAGAGAGGAGAGAAATGAGGCAGAAGCAATATTTGAAGAGAAATACACCAAGAATTTCTCCAAACTAATGAAAAACATCAAGGCACAGAGTCAAGAAGTTCTAAGATCTTAAACAAGGTAAATATAATAAATAAACCCATACTTACGTATATCACAGTAAAATTGCTGAAAACCAAAGTAATAATAATAAAGTATTAAAAACAACCAAAGAATAGACACAGTACTGTCAACAGCAACAAAACGGCTGACAGCTTTCCTCTCAAAAGGAATGATGGTATTCAGAAGACAACGCAATTTGAGCAATGAAAGAAACTACCTTCTACCCAGAATTCCACTCAGAAGGAAATATCCTTCAAATGTGAAGTAAAATAAAGACATTCACAGAGAGAATTTGTCAGCAACAGTAAAAGAAATACTGAAGAATATTAAAGAAAGTTCTTCAGGAAGAAGGAATTATCCCAGATGGAAACATAGAAATGCAGGAAAAAATAAACAGCACTGGAAATTATAAGTAAGTGGGTAAATGTAAATGAATATTGACTGTGGAAAGTACTAAGGTCACATGGAGTTTAAGACAAATGAAAACTGAAATACATGATAAAAGGCATGAGAGGCTAATTGAGTTAACATGTACTAGAACACAGCTTTATCTAGGAAGTGGTAAAAGTATTAATATATATTAGACTATAATCACTTAAGGATGCATGTCGTATCTTTGCAGTAACTACTAAAAGAACAGTAAAAGAATATTTACCTAGCTAAGTTGTTGGTGGGGGGGAGTGGAAATTTTTAAAACATTATTAATACAAAAGAAATAAATGAGAGAAAATTAATGTAAATAGTTGGGCAGGCAAAGGGGAAATAGAAACCCAGAAAACAATCAGATGGTGAATATAAACACACTCATATGAGTAATTACATTAAACATAAGTGGATTAAAATTCCAATTAAAAGACCAAAATTATAAAAGACATACACCTTAAACATACAGAAGAGTGTAAAGTTAAAGGATGGAAAAAGTTATACTATGCAAACACTAACCAAAATAAAGCTAGCAAAGGTATACCAGTATCAGACATATTAGATTTTAAGGCAAGATGCATTACTGAAGTTAATGAATAATAAAAAGGTCAATCCACTGGCAAGATTTTACAATTCTAAATCTATAGGTCCCTAATTACAATTTCAAAATCTACAAAGAGAAGTTGACAGAACTGAAAGTAGAAAAAAAATAAATCAGTATGTTTTCACCATTTTCCTCTCATCCAAATCTTGCCTATCAATAGAAGGGGGCTATGAATAAATTCATACTAAGGAGAAATTATTTAAAATATTTAATGGATTACCTCACAGGGTTATTTGCATTTAATAGGAGAAAGCAGTATGTTTCTCTCCTGTGGAAAACTAGGCAAAGATCAAAAGACAGATGGGAGTTTTTCTCGGGAGTGAGGAAAAGGGGAGGCCTATCTGGCGTTGATGTTTTCTTGAAATCCTCCCACATACATCACGAACTGCTCTGAAAGTCTGCCATTCAAAGTGTCTAAGAAACATCCAAATGATCCTATCTGAAAATTAAAGAGAGTATTATCAAGTATTACAAGGCCTAATTTCTCAGTATGAGCCAAATTGTCCTCACAAATGTTCTCATAGAATTTCATCATTTTTATTCTAATACTTGATCACATTTTACTGGTTTACTTTTCTGTTTCTTCCCTTAGACCATAAGATCTTTAAGGGCAGACATCATCTTTGAATTCATCTTTTAATTTCTAGTGTTTTTATATAGAAGAAGGTATATATGTTAATTACTGAAGAGTTTAAGTTAAATTGGTAATATAACCATTTCTAATTTCCAGTACAATTTAGGGTTTTACAAATTACAGATATATGTTGCTGCTCCTTCCTGTGTTATCCAAATAGTACAGATAATCTCTCATATTATTTTTGAATCAACATGTTTTTACCTTTCATTTCTTTCTAAGCAATCTGAAAACAGACTAAATTCTAATTCCAAATTAATAAACTCTTTTACTGAAACATTAATAAAAATGTATTTTAAATCTATTATATTTTTGCAAAGTAAGATTTCATATACTTTTCACAAATCAATATTTAAACATACACTTAACATGATCAGGGAGAACTATAGCTAATTTCGTTTAGGAATTAAATAATAGGCCAATTTCTTTCATATTCAGTTGAGTACTCTTAGATTTGCAAACTCATAATTAAAAACTTTCCCATGTTAAAACTTACTAGCTTTTATAACTTATTGTATCTTAACAAATTTTAGAAGCAGAAAACATTATTGTTTTTAGAATCATTTATTGCTGATCTTATACAATAGAAGAGAGTTTAATGTGATTACTTAAGGATTTTACAGGCTGAAAAGTTTATATTATAATTTGAAGTTAAGCTGTTATAACCAAATAAAATGGGATTTGTGAAATGTCTGTCTTGTTTCATTTACTCAGAAGCAAGAGAAAGTTTAGTTTTGAGACACTGAACATATCAGACACGAATTCTAGCCAATGGTATGCAAATAAAGTAACAATTATCCAATAATATACAATATGTATACATTTTAACCCAAGGATATTTTAATTATTTTTCAATGAAACTTTAAGTGTTCTTTTAAAAAATTGTCAAAATGCAAATATTAAAATAAAAAACTATGCTTATTGAATCCCTACCAGTGCCCAACACCGAGTTGAAGGCTCTCAGGGGGGTTGAAGGAATGGAAGCATGCATACTCCTCCACACACATAGCAACATGGACACGCACTAGAACGTGAATGATTACCCCGAGCTGTGCAACTTATGAGCTGTTTAATACATACTCAATACCTTGCTCAATACACTGACCTATGAACTGATACTATTCTTTCGCCTGTTTTGTTTTACTTTTGTTGTTCTGCTTTTGTAACTTTTTATTGCACTGGATTTTCCCCCTTAGTTTCATAGCAGGTTCAATCAATCTTGGTAGTTTTTCTTATGAAGTGATATTTGAACAAAATTTTGTAAATTTTATCACAAAGGGCAAGATTTTTAGAGATCTGGCTTTGAAATTAGACTTCTGGGTTGAGTTCTGACCTCCATCACTCTCATGGTGTATGGTACTGAATAAGTCCCTTAATATCTCTATGCCTCAGTCTCCCCAAACTGTAAAGTGGAGTGAATAATATCTATCCCATAGGGCTACTATGAGGATTAAATGAGTTAATACATGTAAAGCACTTTAGAAAAGTACTGGCCATATAGCAAATATTACTTCTCAATTCACCTGGTATCCAAACTCCATAAGATAGAGTATATCTAAACTTTTA